TCCGCATCAAGTTTATCTTTTCAGTTGAATCTTGCATTGTGGAGCAACAACTTGAAGCAGATAGCAGTCGGCGGTGATTATTTGCAAATGTGTGATTGTCGTGAAAATAGCGAGAGTTTCTCACTTAACAGTACTCCGTTCATGCAGCGTGTCCAGGCCACTGAAGTCAAGAGAGTATCAGCACTGCCACCACTGACCTACTGTATCATGTTTATATAGCCACAGGACTAGGAAGACCATCTAGAAATCCCCAGGGCGTACTATGTTGTCCACAACCGGCATGCACATGATAAGGAGAGCCACCATTGTACAGAGCTATACCTATGGTCAGCAGAGTTCAAGAATGTAAAAAGAGAAGAAACACATGAGAACGAGTTATGCAGCAGCTATCCACGACTGTAACAAGAATGTCTCAGTAGCCTGTCAGTTTTGCGCCCCATTATCGCACTTTCTGACCGTTTATCATCTTGTTACAGTCGTGGATAGTTGCTGCATAACTCGTTCTCATGTGTTTCTTCTCTTTTTACATTTTATTACTGGCTCAGTATCCGAGAATTCAAGAAACCTCTCCTAGCACTTACCATCTCCTGGCTGACATAGTTGCCATCTGCTGTGTTACATGACCAAAACTAAGCACAGACACAACATAGGATAAGCACATCAGTGGTCACGGCGGATACGCACACACTGACACCATATAATTATCACACCTACGTTAAGGACGAGTGTCGAAATTGACCGTTTTTCTTTGCCTATATCCTGGGTGCGCGTGAATTACATCTGCACCAGTTGAGCCGCAAAAGAACTGCAGCCATATCTAGCTTATCCTGGTTAGGGGCCGTCCGTAAATATCGATGTTTTTTTAGAGACGATATTGGTGCTTCTCTCCCTTGACCCCCCTCCCTCCCCCCAGAAGACGCACATGTACATCTAGATCATGGAATCAATATTTTTGGATGCTCATGAAGTGCCCAGGATGTTGAGGGTCCGGTGTAGGCGTGAAAATCCCGCCGCACTCACGCAATAGCTGCATCGCCTGGGGGGAGCGAACCGGGTTGGCGCTGCAGTGCTCACAGCCATCGTGTACTGGTGTAGCCAAAGCGGCTACGCTCGGGCTTGAATTTTTTCAAATCCTTGTTCAGACAGTGAAGACTGGAAACTCTTGTGGAGTTCGTCCGTGTTTGTTCGCACTGCCTCTACGTCTTGAAAAAGGTCTCCCGCAGGCATCGTTCGGCCGATTTCCACAATCAATAGCTCATTCTTTTGCTCTTGAAATTCGCCATGCATGGGCGTACAGCTTCCAATTTTTGATTTTGTTCTTGTGTCGCGAGTTTTAGCTCCGCGAACGGAAGCTGGTTTCACATTTCTTGTATAGCCATTTAGACGTCCGCGTGCAGGGATCGGCGAAACTTCAGATATTTACATCGATATTTTTCTGATGCTCGAAAAGACGCACATGGCTCAAACCCCCTCCCCCCCAGACGCACCAATATCGTCTCTAAAAAAACATCGATATTTACGGACGGCCCCTTACTAGAAAATGCTTGGAAAAGATCCACCATGGTGATCTCTAGAGCTTGGAGTGCAGTGTAGTGAATTTTTGATTACCTGGTCCCTAGTGCCAATCGGGCCCGGCTTACTGTCACTGTTACTGGCACTGGCACTGAGGTTCAGGTCAGGATGAATACGGACTACAGTGAAACCTGTCTGAGACGACCGATCAAGGGACCTTCAAAATTTGGTCTCTGTTGCCAGGTGGTCACAAGTCACAGGCTCCTCATCCAGGGTTGTTTGACTGCAAATAGCATCCCTTGGTCCTGGTTGCAAGTGGTCTTTTGGGGCAGGTGGTCTTCTGGAGCAGATGGTCTTTTGGGGCAGGTGGTCTTTCGGGGCAGGTGGTCTTTTGGGGCAGGTGGTCGCCTTGATAGGTTTTACTGTACATGGTTCGAAGTGTAGAGGGAAAATCTCAACAGCACAGACATTACCACTGCACTTCATGGACGCCTGGGTCTAAGTAAGATAGAGACATGTTGAATATAAAATCCAGCGTTATTACTTCAATGGAACCTTGTAACTTTGGTAATACTTTCTTTCTTTTCCAGAGTTCAACAGTTCAATTGTACACATTGCAGTGCTTCTAATCCAGTTCAAGTCTGTTGTAAACTTTGTCCAAATTCTCATTTACACCTCCAAAATTAAAGTTTCATTGACATACTGGCCTCAAGCGAAGGTCCCTGATTCGAGTCCTGGTGGAGACAGTCATTTTTTATTCAGACTTTTCCCATTTGCATCTTTCCCTCAAACCATGGACATACATGAAGCTCTGAGATTACTGACATCATCCCATAGGTGACATCATGAGCCTGTTGACTGGCATTACACAGGCACCACAAACGTATTTCCTTCGCAGGGCCTTACCGAATGGTCAAACGTAAACTTCTTCGTACCCTCCTCAAGTCTGGCTGAAGGCTGGGACAACTCCGCCGAAGGCTTCCCGGTTGGGTAGAGCCACGTTTGATTCCCAGTCATCATGACAGACGTCTGTGATCCTGACTGCTTTTCTCGGCTGTTCAGCGGGCGTACACGCACCGCAACCTTGACCGACATGGTGGCAGGTCCTGCACATAATCACAACAGATAACACGCTGGTATCGTCAAGTACCGCCTTTGGGCCTATCTGTATACACGCACAAAATTAATAACATTTTTGTAACTTTTTTTCAACTATCTTATCCCACACTGTTTGGAACAGTTTGGTTGCTTGGGTGTGGCTGATCAGGGCTTTGCACAACACATACTCATGTTGCAGAAAGGGTCCAAGGCACTCAGCACGTGCATGCCGTACAAACGACAGTCTGCACACAAACACACCAAGGGCAGAGATGTTCACGCAGGGAATGTTGACTACACAGCTGGCAACGCGATCGACAGAAGAACAATTTTCTGTTCCTCTGCCGCTTCCACCAGATGCAGCGCACAGGAAGTAAAGCAGGAAAACTCCAGCACATAGTGCCATGTACCCTGGGCAAGTGCACTTGTGCCGCAATGGCTTGCAAAGCCCAGTACATGAATAGACATTAAGTTGATTTCTGTAGTATTGATGTAGCAGGACTGACTGCACAGTGAATGGTGAGTTACAGGCCAACGCATTTGCTAGAAGCACGCAGCAGAGACCGTTCACACTTCCATACGAGTACAATCCAAGAACGAGACACATGCTCAGAGCTCATTGTCCATAATTACGGGTTTGCGGACTCATAAGAACAGTGCAAAAAAAGCCTCGCTAATTAACATCGCAGACTGTGGAGTTTGTCTCGTACTAGTTTTCTCAATAAATGTCAAAAAACGGTGTCAAGTCACTATCCATGGTGTGGAGAAAACGGGTCTCCAAAGGCAGGTGGTCGTTTTTACACAGGTCAGGATGTACGTTGACGTATGGCTTCAACCTGCCGTACTGTTTCCATTGATATTAATTTTCATGATTATCTGTCCCTGCGGGAATTTGCGGAAAAAACTCTCGAAAACTGGCGCAAGAAATTGCGGTAGAAAGTAACAAAAAATGCGACGAAAAGTGCGGACACATGCAGAACTTGCCAGGAATTTGCGGAATTATTTGCAGAAAATTGCGGATTTGGGTCAAATCACGAAATTTGTTGCATCGTATATCTACTCGGGAGTCGTACTGTGCAAATAACCTACAGGATCATGGAAAGAACTGCGTGAAAAGTGCATAAAAAAGTGAGATATAGTGCAGAAAACAACAGAAAACGCGGGAAATCGCGTATTTTGCTGAAAATCGCGGGTTTGGGCCAAAATCGCGATATTTGTTGCATCCGTGGAATCGCGATTTCCTGGAGGGACAGGATTATGATCTCTGAGAAATTCTCCATAAGGCACGTTATGGTACAATACTTGTTATTTTGGTTGAGTACCATTCCTATGAGAGGTTTGTGCGCCGATGCCTGCTGCTCTTCTTGAAGCTGTCGTGGTGAAATGTCTGAGTGTGCAGTCTTTCCCCTCAAACCAGTGAATATAACTTACGAATACATGTTAATAGCCCTTTCACACGACGGGAGAATGTCACGGATTCTCGGCTGTGCGACAGGATCACCAGGGTGATCATCGATTTATTTGAAATCTGAGTCGTCGGCTCGTAGCCCGCGAGATTGTAGCACGCAACACCCTGACCCCCTGGCTGGCTGTGCGTTTTTGATTTCGCATTTCATGAACGTGCTTGTAATTTGTATGCGCTGTGTCTGCAAGTCATGAACTGGCTTGCTACAATCGTGTCTTTGTTGTATGCGCTGTGTCTGCAAAGCTAGTCGACGTGTGAAGTGTCTTGCCGCGCATCGTAGAACCATAGCATCGTGCAATCGTGAGCATAAACCATCGTGTGATAAGGCTATTACACTGTATTTTGATGAAAACTTATTAAAATACTATGCTCCACTCCAGCTGTGTTTCTGAGATTTTCAGACAGAATTTTTTCCGTTTCTCCGCTCAGGTATGGCCCAGTGTGGGAGAACACAAGCTAGCGGTATCCACATGTAGAGCGTGACAAATCCTACACTATTCAACAGCCAAAGAAGTTGAAAGAACCCAGTCCGGAGTTGGCCACCATCAGCAGTGCCACTATCTCCTCTCTCATCAGCATGCACATCGCCCTGGTTGATTATCATAATTCTTGGCAACCATCGCCTCACACGTGCAGCACGATGGCTCAACTCCCTACCTTCAGTTCTGCTTGACAGCGCTAGAATGTGATGGGATCCGGCGAAAGCCCGCTACTCCGCCAGGCTATTTCACGTCGCCACTGGTGGAAAATGGTCCCAAGAAGCCGTCCATGGCACTACCAGCTGGCAAGTCCTGCCCTAACGCGACACACGCTAGCACCGAGGGCCACGTGGACACAAAATGAGTAGATCTACGTGCCTGGCTAAGCTCGCCCAAGCACTGTTTGCTTTGTTACCTTGTTTGTTGGTGAATCAGTTTTTTCCATTTTTCACTTTCAGGTGTGTCTGTTCAGGCTGGGCCGGCTTGGCCATCGTGTCTGGATTCTGGAAGTGTCAAGACTGTCAGTTACTGAGTTAGCGACTCACATGGCCAGGCTGCACTAGTACAGTCTGCAGTGTACACTCACTGGGCAGTGACCATGGTGACGAAGCCAAAGAAGTGCAGTTTTATTTTTATTTTGTAGACTTGTGAATTAGTTGTGGGGTGAGACATTATGCATAATTATGGCTAGCCTAGTACTAGTAGTACTAGTACTAGTGGTAATAGTAAAGTAATACTAATGGTAAATAGTGGCGGCGAAATAGAGCAGTTCCAGCACAGCTACGTACCGTATTATCTCTAATATAACTTATAAGCACAGTCTCCAATAATAGCACGTCTCCAATAATAGAACACCTTGCCCTTGGGGCGGCATTCAAAGAATAAAGTGCTCAGTCTCCATTATATTTATAAGCACACTATGTAAATTCATTATCTGTACCGGCGAAAAAACCCCTGAAATGACCGTGTGTGTCTGACATGAATTTGGCATGGCCACAAGCCTCTGAAATGCGAGGTTGAAATAATAATGGAACAGTCTCCAATAAAGGAACGTCTCCATTAGTACCAGTACATATTATGTATCTACATGTAATATTGACTGAGTACGAGGTCACGCGCTCTTCAGCCGAACCATACAGACACCAGCAAGGACACTTCCGTTGAGAGATAATAATATTACTCCACGCCTCTAGACAGCTGTTTCGCTCCCTGTCGGAGCTCATCAGTAGAGGATGACAATGATGATAATGGAGGAATGATCATTCTTATACACCAGAAATGGCGCAAGTGCGCGCTTTCCACAGAATTATATCAATGACATAATTATGCAAGCTGCTAAAATGGTAAAGTGTGAGAACAGCGATAAATTAATAATCATAGTACGCGCTCATTGGTGGAGAAACACACCACACAGGCGACGAAAATCTTACGCGGAATACTGATGCCAATGGAAAGTACATGTATGTTGATAATTGTTATGTTGCAATGTCCATGTATGCAGGCGAGGCGAGACTCACCGCCGAGATCCCCCAACGCTACAGGCTCAGTTGCCGTTCAGGATTCACACCGACCTGTCCGCCCGTCAACAGGATCGACAGCGGGAGGCCCCACTGATGCCGATGTCGATGCACACCAGGGAGGCGTAAAAGGGAGTCGTAAAATACCGTATATTTTACGACTCCCTGATGCACACCAGGAAACTTGTAAGTAAGTTGTAGTCGTGAGTGTGATACTAACAGGTCTAGTAGCAACCATTGACAAACGAGAGGCCAGCTGGGGCATTCACTCCAGTCAGGGATGCTTGGTCGACGCTTCGTATCAGCAGCTCAGCTCAGTTTGATCAAACAAAGATGTTGCAGATGTGTCTTGCTTTTCTCCTTCCTTCTTCACCGACTCGTCTTGTCATCTCTCCTTCTTTCTTCGCCGACTCTTCGTGTCCGTCGGTAAAGATTTCGCTTGTCTTCAGCATCTACAGGGCACAAGTATAGGGGATTACCTGCGTGCGAAACTGCTGAGCGTGATGGATGGCACGGATGTCGCTGGGGAGGGCATTCCATAATACAGCACCCTTGCAAGCAAAGCGCCCCCGCCCCGCAACTGAATGGGAAACGGGCACGCACAGGCCCATGGCAGATTGGAGCCATATGTCATTGATATACACACTAGTCAGAACAACAGATGGCTTGATCAGTCACAACTTAAAGTTTCATGCCATCTCAGGCACTCATCAGGTGATATGAACATCAAGAAAAATAACCCACTATTTAAAGCCCAGTATGGCGGGACAAGGATAACAGAAAGCGCTAGGGGCGCTATCAACTCATATCTGATACGTTACTATTTATTCGTGAAGACTTGGGAACAGAAACAAAACATGTCATGAGAAAGAACAACAGGAAAAAGAAGCACACTCAACTAATCTGTGTGTGTGCGTGCATGCAGTACAACTATGACGTAATGAATATAGATACACATCACGCCCCTTCGAGATGTTGCGAAACCTGTGACAGCAACATCTATCATAAATAAAACAAAATGAAGAATGAAAACAACAAAGCAGAGACAGCAGAAATTGACATTAGTGATCAAGAGTGTCAATCATAGGACTGTCCATGATGCGAACCAATGTTTAAACGCTGGGGTGGCTTGCGCTGACGTGCGCTGCGGCGGGACGGCGGCGGCGGGGAAGAGGCGTCAGCAGCAGCCGGTTGGACAACAAGCGGTGCAGGCACAAGTGGGCGATACGGACGCAGGAATCTGCGGTTCCGCCAATAAATGCGACCACTCGGCAACTTCACTAGGTAGTCCCGATGATTACCGACAGCAACAATGACCCCACGAATAGACCACTGCTTGGTGCGCGGATGCTGAACATCCACGTGGGTGCCGAGGCGGAGCTGCGGCAACGAGCGACGAGTTGACGACTTGTCTGTGACGGAATCGTCGGATGGCATGGCAGTCTCATCACGTGTCGTCGCTTTGGAGAGCCAGGATGAATCAAACTCCTTCCAATGTGCAATGACGAATGACTGGAGAGAGCGGCCATATAGGAGCTCAGCGGGGCTCTGACCAGAGGAGCCAGGTGTGTTTCGCCATTCCAGTAGCCCTCGGCGGAAGTCATCTGTGTCAAGATTGCCATTCACGGTTGTCTTGGTGATAAGACGCTTCATGGCTTTGACAGCAGCTTCGGCGTGCCCATTACTCTGCGGGTAGTGGGGAGAGGACATGACATGGTTTACCTGCCAGCGCTTACAAAACTCAGCAAACTTATGCGAGGAGAACTGGGGACCACCATCTGTACACAGCACAGCAGGAACACCAACATCAGAGAACCAGCGACGGAATGCTAGTATCACGTCATGCGATGAGGTGGTGCGGCCAGTACGCGCGACACAGGGCCAACCGGTCAAACGATCTGCATACACAAGGAAGTCGTGACCTTGACAAGTGAACAAATCGGCAGATGCACATTCAAACGGTAGTGTCGGGGTGCGGTCGTTCAGCAGGGGCTCAGCTGGCTGGGACGACTGGTGTTCGCGGCAAGCAGGACAAGAACGAACGAGTGTATCAATGTCCTTGGTGATACCGGACCAGTATACAAGCTGACGCGCACGAGACTTAGTACGCACTAGGCCTTGGTGTGAAGCGTGGAGGTTGTGCAATACCTGAGCACGCCATGATTCAGGAACAACAATGCGGTTGCCCTTCATCACAATGCCATGGTCGACGGAGAGATGCTCACGTCCATTCCAGTACGCACGTAACGGAGCAGGCAACTTCTGCTGGCGATCAGGGAATCCAGTCAAGATACACTCAATCAATGACTGGTACGTGGCATCTGCAGCTGCAGCTTCCCGCAGCTCTGCAACCTTGAGATTCGCATTCGGCTCAGTGTCCGAGTGCACCATGCAGATCTGAATGCTGCGGCAATGAAGCGACGGGGCTTCACCAAGCTCATCAGTGGTGGAAGGAATGCCAACAGGATTCCGGGACAGCGCATCGGCGAAGGCATTTTCAGAACCTTTTCGCCAAGATGCCTGCAGCTGATAGGCTTGGAGCTTGAGGCGTAATCGTAGAAGACGCGGGTTCTCGATCTGATCCAACGAATATGAGTTGATGATCGGAATCAGGGGCTTGTGGTCGGTGACTACTTCAAATGGCGCACCAGACAGGTAGATGCGGCATTTGCGCACGGCCCATACTACAGCGAGCATTTCCAACTCGATGACAGCATAACGTGTTTCAGCATCAGACAGGTAGCGGGATCCACACTGAATAATACGCCACTGATCATTCTGCTTTTGCCAAAGCACGAATCCGAGACCTCTTAGAGCGGATGCATCGGTTTCAAGCCGGAGGTCTTGACCAACTTGATAGAAAGCGAGAACCGGAGGGGACAAGAGAGCTTCCTGCGTCCGTTCAAACGCTGCAGTGTGGCTAGCGTCCCACATGAACTCACGGGAGGTCTTGAGCAGGCCACGCAGAGGATTGGTCAACTCGGCTAGATGTGGAGTGAACTCGCCACATTGGTTCACTAGACCGAGGAACGAACGGAGATCGGTTCTGTTGGCGGGTACTGGAAACTGGCGAATACCGGACGTCTTATCATCGTCGACGACCCAGCCATCAGGCGTGACGTTGTAGCCGCAGAAATGGATACGTTGCGTACCGAACACAAACTTGGCGGGGCTGAACGTGATACCATGCTCCCTGGCGCAGAGCAGAATCTCGCGCACGTGGCTGACATGCGACAGAAAGTCGTCGTCGTACGCTAGGCAATCATCGACTACCTTGCCGAGACGCGGGATGGCAGAGAACGCAGCATCAGTGCGCCGGTTGAACTCATCCCCAGCAGATATTAGACCCTGCGGGTTCCGTAGATAACGATATCTGCCGTACGGGGTGATAAACGTGGTGAATTCCTGAGCAGTGTCACTGAGAGGAATCTGCCAGTAGCCGTGCCTTGCATCGAGCTTCGTAAAGAACTTAGCAGAGCCAACTCCAGAGACAACGTCACGTGCCGTATGTACGGGATGCGCGGGACGACGGACTTGGTCATTCAGCCGCTTGAAGTCAACTGTGAGGCGCTTCTCAGTGCTGCCCTTCTTGTCTACTATGACAATCGGATGGCACCATTCACTGGGCTCCGTCACTGGTTCAATAATCCCGTCGCTGACCATGCCGTCGAGCTGCGTCTTGATCTGGTCACGGAACGCATACGGTATTGGTCGAGCAGTGTACACACAGGAAGGCTTAGAATCATGCTGTAGCTCAATTTCCATTGGCGGACCTTCCATTGGCTTCAGACCGGAATCCGAGAAAACGTCAGCGAACTCTTGCAGGAGCTGCTCACGTGTCCGCGCTAACTCAGCATCACTAGGATGAGCGCATGACGAAACAGCTGCACAGATCTTGGGTGAAGATGCACCCTCGTGTTCAGCGGTGA